GGGTTAATAAGAAGGTATTGGGTATGATGAAAGATGAGAATAATGGTTGTATTATGACCGACTATATAGGTCTTCGATCGAAATTGTACACTACAAAAGTAGCCATCACAGACGATGAAATTGAAAAAATGAGGGTGAAGTTGAAAGAACAGGAGTATGAGGATGATGAAATTGATAATATTATTAATAATTATGATGTAACGAAGAAGGCGAAGGTGGTAAAGAAATCTGTTGTAAACACTAAAATTACATTCGAGGACTATGTCAAGTGTTTAGATAACTTTACGACAAAGATTATCTCGCAAAATCTTATACGCTCAGATAAGCACCAAGTTTATACTATAACACAAAGCAAGATTGCGCTAAGTCGCTATGATGATAAAAGACATCACCTTCCGGAGACTTATGATACGCTTCCATGGGGGCACTATTTAATTAATAATCTTGAGATGGATGTTGATTAACAAACAGTAAGATTTTATTATGTCAACTCTTTCATAACTTTTATTCCTGTTTGGTTAACTTTAAGGCTAATTGTATATTGACATTTTTAAAACTGAATTTATTACAACTGCAATATTGATAAATACATTAGGATCAGACATTTTTTCATTATATTCCTCTTAACATCATTAATCACTTATCATTTTTTATATAATTAAGATAGCATATTTAGTTGATTTAATAGAGTCATTTTAAAACTTTATTACAGCTAACGTAATGCTAAATATATCTGGAACAGACCCTTTTATTAGGTATATTCCTTTTCTCAACCTTTCCCTCATTCATTGTTTTTTTTATATTATATGGTACTTCTACTAGATTTTAGTTTTGTATATATTATTTTAAAATTACGATACTTAAGATTAGCACATATAAAAAAAAAAAAAAAGATGTTTAGCTATGACCACTAAAAAGATATCTGATATGGACCGCTGGCAAATTAATGAACCGATCTTATTAAGTTAGGATCTAGTGTTCGTGCAGCCTTAATCAATAATGGTTCTCTTTACCCCGATTTAGTTTTTTCGATAGCCTGTTCCAAAACAGGAGTCGGAGAAATCTCTAGTTTTAAGTCTTCGATAGCCTGTCCCCAAACAGGAGTCGGAGAAATCCCTAGTTTTAAGTCTGTTCTTCGATAGCCTGTCCCCAAACAGGAGTCGGAGAAATCCCTAGTTTTAAGTCTTCGATAGCCTGTCCCAAAACAGGAGTCGGAGAAATCCTTAGTTTTAAGATTAGGTAACCTAGAGTTATCGACTAACCCTCAATAATTCATTTTTGAATGAACAACACAGTGTCTTAACATAAAAGATGTCCATCAGATCAACAGAAAGATGTCTACTAAACCAAGTTAAATCATGTGCTGATCTTGGTAACGTTAAGTATATTGCTGCTAAATATATTATCATATAATGTAAAATATTTCATTCCTACTAACCATCATCCCTACTAACATGACAGTCGATGTAGTCGTACCTTCACGTTGGTGACTGTTGTTAAGAACATATGTTTTTCAGCAAATTTATGTTCGAACCAAATTGACTACCTTTCATGCATTGTATAATTTCGCTTTACACATACATTCCATCGCTTCGATACTAACATTACATTTAACCATTACTCACTGCTGACCGTGCTAACATATCTTACATGCAGTCTATGTTGCTATTTTTTACTAGAGACCGGAAGCACAATACCAACCTACAAAACATAATATTGCCGTAGATAAAATATAGTATATTCATCATTTATATTCGCTAATTTTATATCTCACCCGAATTGTCATAGATTAGTATGCAACTCACAATGCATTTGTATTCTATACTTTTTATAATTTTACTCGAACTACCGTAGATACGCATATATATAATAATAGTGGTGTATAGTAATTAATCAGATAAGATTATTTTGAGAATGTTTGTTGGTTTGGTCATACTATAAGAATAATATATGTTTTTTGTGATTCATCATGTTCTATTTCTAGTAATACTTCATGCGTGGATGTACGTTATATATCGTTTGCAACGTAACCTTTCGCATTGTTTAGAGAGAGAGAGCGAGAGAGAGAGAGAGAGAGAGAGAAGCTGTGTGTCTTTTTTACGATGTCAAATGCTAGATGTGGTCGACAGGTGGCGTGACGAGACGACGAACTGTATTATACGTGGAATCCCATTCAAACTATGTCCAATATTTGATATAGCACCGTTTTTTTTGGCGATGATTCTCTGTTAGCCTCACTTTCCTCCAATGTCTATTATGCTAAACAAAGATCCGATATAGCGGCGTTTTAGTCATTGTCTTTTGTCTTAACATATTTCCCATCACCTCCCCTTTTCATTTAACGTGTTACACGTAGTACGCTAACTAATAACAACAGAGATACGACATAGCGTCGTTTGGCACGGTCTTTGCGTCTGCTTTTTGTCTTAACATATTCCACCTCCCTTTCCATCACTACCTCTCACGTTGAGCCGTTTGGACGTTACAAGCTAGCGTCGATGTCTTTGCGTTTTATTTTTTTTCTTAACATATTCGTTACCACCTCCCCGTTCCAACAATACCTCACACGTTGAGCCGTTTAGACGTTGCAAGCTTAGTGTCCTTTTGACATTATTTTTTGCGTTTTGTTTTTATTTACATATTCGTTACTACCTCCCCTTTTCATCGATACCTCACACATTGTTGTATGTTGAGCCGTTTGGACGTTACAAGCTTAGTGTCCTTTTGGCATTGTCTTTTGCGTTTGTTTATGTATTAACATATTCATTACCTTCTCCCCCCGCTCCAACGAGCCCTCGTACGTTACGATCTGACCAATAACAAAGGAAATATGACATAATGCCGTTTTGGCACAGTGTTGACATCTGATTTTTATCTTAACATTATCATTATTACCTCTCCTTTCCATCAATACCTCACACGTTGTTGTACGTTGAGCCGTTTGGATGTTACAAGCTTAGTGTCCTTTTGGCATTGTCTTTTGCGTTTGTTTATGTATTAGCATATTCGTTACCCTCTCCCCGTTCCGACGAGCCCTCATACGTAACAATTGAACCAATAACAACGGAGATACGATCTAGCGCCATTTTGGCACTGTCTTAACATTTGATTTTTATCTTAACATATTCATTATCACCTCTCCTTTCGATCAATACCTCACACGTTGTTGTACGTTGAGCCGTTTAGACGTTACAAGCTTAGTGTCCTTTTGGCATTGTCTTTTGCGTTTGTTTATGTATTAACATATTCGTTACCCTCTCCCCGTTCCAACGAGCCCTCATACGTCACAATTGAACCAATAACAACGGAGATATGATCTAGCGCCATTTTGGTACTGTCTTAACATTTGATTTTTATCTTAACATATTTATTATCACCTCTCCATCAATACCTCACACATTGTTGTATGTTGAGCCGTTTGGACGTTACAAGCTTAGTGTCCTTTTGGCATTGTCTTTTGCGTTTGTTTATGTATTAACATATTCGTTACCTTCTCCCCCGCTCCAACGAGCCCTCGTACGTTACGATCTGACCAATAACAAAGGAAATATGACATAATGCCGTTTTGGCACAGTGTTGACATTTGATTTTTATCTTAACATTATCATTATCACCTCTCCTTTCCATCAATACCTCACACTTTGAGCCGTTTAGACGTTGCAAGCTTAGTGTCCTTTTGGCATTGTCTGTTGTGTTTGTTTATGTATTAACATATTCGTTACCCTCTCCCCGTTCCAACGAGCCCTCATACGTCACAATTGAACCAATAACAACGGAGATACGATCTAGCGCCATTATGGCACTGTCTTAACATTTGATTTTTATCTTAACATATTCATTATCACCTCGCCTTTCCATCAATACCTCACACGTTGTTATACGTTGAGCCGTTTGGTCGTTACAAGCTTAGTGTCCTTTTGGCATTGTCTTCTGCGTTTGTTTTTTCATGCAAATATATTCATTACCACCTACCCTTTCCATCGATACCTCACACGTTGTGTAAATTGAGCCGTTTGCACGTTACAAGCCTAGTGTCCTTTTGGCATTGTCTTTTACGTTTGTTTATGTATTAACATATTCGTTACCCTCTCCCCGTTCCAACGAGCCCTCGTACGTCACAATCGAACCAATAACAACGGAGATATGATGTAATGCCGTTTTGGCACAGTTTTTGCGTTTGATTTTTATCTCAACGTGTTCCCCATCCCCTCCGCTTTCCAACGATACCCAACACGTCACGATCCGACGAGCCGTTTTACCCCCACCACAAAAAGAGACAAAAATGAGCAGAATGAACCTTAGCGATTTCTTATGGGATTTTACATGGGAAAATACGCCGAACCCGTGCTGCCCTTTTACTACTACGTGTTTGGGAAAGAAAAATCCTACGGAAGATCTTTGGTCCGGTGCTTGATGAAGCATCAGGACAATATAGGATAAGAACTAATAAAGAGCTTGAAGAACTTTACCCAGACGCCAACATCATAAAAGAAATAAAGTCCAGAAGACTCCAATGGGCAGGACACCTCAGAAGACATTCTGACGAACGAACAGTAAGACTGGTGTGGCAGGAAGTCCCAACTGGAAGGAGACCACGCGGACGCCCTCGTCTCCGGTGGCGAGATAATATAGCAGGAGACCTAAGCACTATGGGCGTGGAGAATTGGATGGAGGTTGCTTAAGACAGAAAACAGTGGAGGCATGTTGTCGAGTCGGCTAAAACTCACGAAGGGTTGTAACGCCACGGAGTAAGTAAGTAAGTAAGGGCAACGGAGGTTCGTGGCAAGTCGACGGTGCGCAGTGATGCCATTTTTAGTGTGTATATCTAATTTAAAACTTAACGTACCTTATTAGAGTGATAATTTAATAGTATTAATGCACATAAATAACAGTGAAATAATGAGTAAGAGCACGTTAATCACAATTAGGGAAAGTATTTTAAGATATTTCTAAATAACGACACTAGGTATTCTAAACTCACTTCTCTCAATTGTTCTTACCTTCTTTATCGTACAACCGAAAAGCATCCTTAAGTTCCCTTAAAATTGCTTCAGTGTCTTCCTCTTCTTCAACTAAAAACCTTGCAGACAAATGTGCAAATTCATCAAAATTCATTACTCCGTTACCATCTTCGTCAATTTCTTTGACAATTGCCTCAAAGAAAAAAAAATAAAATAAAATATATCAATATGCGAACCATTTTGAGTAACTAATTGTTTAGAATGTTATTCGTATACACGTCTGATGAACAGATCATATTAAAAAATTCCTTTATAATAGGTATAATAATAATCGGGCTATATCACAGAAAGTTTTCGGAATTAATATTCCATCGTCAATGCTATCTGGATATTATATACATGTTTGAAGCCACTAAATATATGGCAAAAATCCTTTCAATGTTGTTAGATTAACTTTGAGTTACATTTTTTAAAAATTATAAACCATGGTGTTTAAATGATAAGTTACAAAAGGAATTGATTACATGGTAACGTAAGGCTCCAATGGAGTTGTTAGTCTTTAGACGAAGTGTGTGAGACTTGTTGATAGGAACTAGTTGATATATAGTATGCATTTATAATAAGTGTTTTATATTACCTGTAATTCATCAGGGGTAAGACGATGACCTAACATGTCTAGAATTTGTCCAATCATGTCAACAGGGATTTCCTTCTTCTTTTCCAAGTCAAAGGAGTCAAAAATTGATTTAAGCACTAGAAAGAAGTAATATTAATACGAAAGAGGTATCATTAAAAATATAGCTTGTACTAATCATTACAATATTTCAATAATATAGTTACCAATGATATTTTATGCTTTTTTGCATATTTTGGACAAACTTAAAGACTTTATTGTATATATATACATATATATATATATATATATATATATATATATATATATATATATATATATATATATATATACAGAGTACTTAGGTATTATTGACTGACATGTTATGTAAAATAAAGTTTTATTTTGAGGTTGCAGTCATTAATAGAAATGAATATAATTATGAATATATATATATATATATATATATATATATATATATATATATATATATATATATATATATATTCATAATTATATTCATTTCTATTAATGACTGCAACCTCAAAATACAACTTTATTTTACATAACATGTCAGTCAATAATACCTAAGTACTCTGTATATATATATATATATATATATATATATATATATATATATATATATATATATATATATCTTACAATATCTTACAATAAGTTGGTTGTACATCTGTATTATTCTTATATGTTTGTATTATTCTGAGGTGTTTGTTATTTTAATAATTTATTGTTGTTAAGGTGTAACTTTGTAAAACTTGTGATTGTGTATATATATATATATATATATATATATATATATATATATATATATATATATATATATATATATATATATATGTATATACTTACTTCTTAATTGTTCCTTGGAGATATCAAGTTTTTTAAATTCCTCGTAATTTAATTCATCGACGACGGCCTTATCGCCAGTCTGCAATAAAAATTATTAAACGGATAAAGTTTTGAAAAGTGAATATATAAGTTTGTTGTTATGTTAGTTTATTAAATGCATAAATTATATAATATTATTTATCTATATAAAAGGCTACGATGACAAGTCGCACCGTTAGTCTAATAAATCAACGACGCCATCTAGGAAAGAAATCTGAACTATCACTATTTGACATTTCAATAATATTATTATTCTTAAAACGATACGTTTAACTCATTAGCGCTTACAGTCACCATATGGACCCAACTGTAAAGATATTGTTTAACACAATAAAATTCTAATAAAACAGGCAATACTACATTACATTTACCGCATGTATACTTTATTTAGACTTGTCTAAACCTGCGTTGATGAATACTCATCAGTGTTTTATTAGATAAAACAAGCTAAGGAAGTTAGAAAATCGTGTTATAGTAAAAAGTGTTTGATAGTGGACATAAGATTTATGTAAGTAAATTTTCAGTACCTTTTTTTTGGAATACTAAGATCTTAAAATCTTAAGATCTTAAAGATCTTAAAATATAATGTAGTGTGCATATTTTTGTATCGAAATTACAAGGGACAGTTAAAAATTCATGTAAATATTGCTGTACCCATATGAACCCACTAGGCGGTTATGTAGTCAAAAAATATCTTTTTATAATTTCAGTGGAATTATACTACAGGAAACTTTAGATATCGCATATGAAGAAGCCGCCTGAATCAAATTTCCTTACGGATGAGAGTTCAGGTGACGAAAACCAAGACGAAGACGAAGATGGTGACCTGGATAACTTGAATCCTCGTCAACTTCGTGCAGGTGCGGAAGTTATATTTGCAGACTCTGAACGTCTAGGAGGTGTACAATCAGAGCTAGAAGCAAGCTATGATAAGGATTTGCAGAACGTAAATAGTTCTTATGAAATAAAAACTAATACAAATCCCCAAATGGTAATTGATCTGCCAGAACCTACAACTTGTATTGACGGAGACCTTCATTATACGTAGCGCAACTTTCCAAAAGAGGATTACAGTAAATATTTAGAGATGAGTTGTGTGCAACTGTTTGAATTATTTATTATTGATGATACTCTACTGATAAATCATTAGAACCCTAACGTGACACTTCCTGAATTGAAAGTATTTATAACAATTCTCTTAGTAAGCGGATATAATAAGCTACCATCTAAAAGAAGCTACTAGGAGAGAAGCCCTGATATGCAAAATATTCTGGTGTCTGATGCCATGAGACGTGACAGGTTTTTACAAATTTGTCGTTTACTTTATTTTGCAGACAATAATTAAATAGATAAAAATGACAAAATGTACAAACTAAGACCACTTACAGATATGTCAAAAAAATCGTTCATAGAGCATTTTGTCCCAGAAGAAAATATAGCTTATGATGAATCGATGATACGCTACTTTGGGCATCATGGATGCATACCGTTTATCAGAGGAAAGCCTGTAAGATTTGGCTATAAGGTGTGGTGTATGAATACACCTAGCGGATATTTGAGAAACTTTGAAGTTTATCAGGGAAAAAATCGTAGATCTAATGAAGAATATCAAACATATTTCGGAAAAGCTGCAGCTCCCATGGTACAGATGATCGAAGAATTGGGTGACAAAGTATCTCTGTTAATTACTATTTAACTGGGAATAAGCCACAATTGAAGATAAAAATACGTTTATTGACGTTTTAATTTACTGTTTGTATTTTGAGAACGATTTTCGAAGTGGAAATTGGCAACGTCAATAAACGTATTTTTATCTTCAATTGTGGCTTATTCCCAGCTAAATAGTAATTAATTTAAAATGCCACAAGAAAATAGCTTCAGAACAAAGTATCTCTGGGATACAAGTTTTTCGTTGATAATTTATTTACCAGTACAAACTGGTTAGGTACTCTAAAAGCTAATGGGTACGAGGTTACAGGTACTGTGAGAGATAATAGAATTCCTAGAAATTGTCCACTTGTTTCCAAAAAGACGATGGAAAAGAAGGCACGAGGCGAATATTGTTCAACATTGAATAAGGAGACTGGTATTCAATATGTTTGCTGAAGGGACAACAAAGTTGTAACAGCTGCAAGCACATGTTTTGGTGTTCAGCCGGTCAAAAATGTGGAAAGATATTCCAAAAAGGATAGCAAGACAGTGCAAGTACCTAGGCCATATCTTGTTTCGCAGTATATTAACAGCATGGGAGGAACTGATCTCATGGACAGTAATATATCTTGGTAAGAAATAACGAGCAATATTTATATAAATGAAAATATATGGGTAATTTTTTTTCAGTTACCAAGTCGGCATACGTTCCAAAAAATGGTACTGGCCAATATTTACGTACCTCATAGACGCAACTCTTCAAAATGCTTGGACGATATGTAGGAAATCCGGGAAGAATATAAGTGTCTTAGAGTTTAGAAAAAGTATTTGTCAGGTAAAAGTATTTTTATACAAAACTCAGAAAAAGTTTACGATTCATTCAATTTTTAGACCTACTTAACGACATATAAAGTCCCCGCTGAAAGAACTGCAAAAATCGGTAGAGCAGCAGCAAAAGATTTTCGAGTGTCTGACTGCGTCAGGTTTGACTTTAAGGATCGTTGGATTATCTCTGTACCTGAAGACAAAAGAAAGGTGCGCCATGCCAATTTACAGTTCAAAAGGGCGTACAATGTGTGCAAAATGCAACATCGAGCTTTGCATTTCATGTTTTAAACCATTTCATACAAATTAATTTATTGTTTCAATATTTGATCTTGCCAAACGCCTAGTGGTCCCGTATGAGACCACCCTTTTTTTTCCAAAAAAAAAAAGGAATTTTTTTTTATTTCGGCTTTAATTTAACAAAAATAAGTTGTTTTTACGTAGTTTTAAATAAAATTATTGTATATTCAACTTTCCAACGCAATTTACAGCTTTTTAGTATATCAAAACCTTTCAGCACAGAATTGTGTTGAATTTAGATTCGAAGTATGTTCTACGATGGCTGAAAATGAAAATAGTGTTTAGGCCAATTTGTAGGGATGTAGGAAAATAGAAAATTTAATTGCAAAAATTAAGAATATAATGTCCTTTTATCATAAGTCCCCAGCCTGTAGGAATTTGGTTTCTAATCTATCAAGACTCTTCGAGACCGGATGGTTTGAGAAATACAGAACCAATATAAAGTTTTCAGACAGCTTAATGAACCATAAATTTACAATATGACACGTGGTATAAAACAATATTTTATAAAATTACTAAGCAAACAAGTACAAAACAAAACCTAGTAATAAATTTTGATAATAAAAAGGTAAATATAAATAAAATTGTAAACAAACAGAATAAAAAATAAGAAAATAGAAATGCCAGAATTAAAAACCTTAACAATAACGTTTAAGAACTTGAATACTTCATATTTTTACTTACATCAGCCATTGTGATATTCTTTAGTTTATCTGTGGACAAATTTAACCAAGCAACAAAGTATAAGTATAAATTTTGATGGGATTTATACACTTTTAATTCATTTACTATCGGTTAAAATGTTTGGTATAGGAATTGACAACCAGCTGTAATGATTATCTGTGTTTCATTTGGAGGGCGAATTGTTTTGTTAATGCCAAGAGCAAGAAATTCAGCAGTCATCCAAAGCAATGTTAAGCATTCAGATAGATACATTCCTAATCAATCGTTGACTTAAATTGGTGCACGTGTGAATATAAATATTTATAGTATACTCATAGTAAGTATAGATACTAAACACAGAGATTTTTAACAAATTCCGTGCGGATGGTATAAATGTGAGCCACAAGGTGTCTTTACGAATATGCGGACGACGCGCATATCGTGCCACTGTATATGCCACTGATTATACACATTTTTAATTTTTGGTTTTTACAGTAATGCACCGCATGATTTAAATTTACCATTAGGTTGTGGGATAAAGTAGTCTACACTTATAATTACATTGGTTTTTGAATACATAAACAAATGGAATATCTATCAACAAATAAAAGTAATGGTTGTGCTGGGTAATATTTTAAGAAATAAATTCTGAAGTACCTATATACGATATTGTATGTATACTGTATCCAGAAATTTAATGTCTCATTATAAAAGTTATTTTAATGACAGCATAAAACTGAATAATCCCCTGTAAATACTATATTGTTGTATAATTATCACAGCTACCCAAGCTGCCAGAACCGGCATGTAGCCAGCCAAGTCAACTGTAGCTAGGTATATACAGTGTGGAAACCACTTATGGAATAAAATTGTTTGTGTCCTTATTTTAGCAAATAATAAAAAACGTTGAGATACCTAAAACGTTGACATACCTTAACTTTTAAATTTAAATGTACGCTTTTTAGACATAAATTTGAATTTACAGGGTGATCAATGCAAGTCTGGCATAGTGCATAATCTGTATTTTAAATGAAACACCCTGTATATTTTCATGTTTTTAAAAGCTCCTTAACAACCTGATTTCAACGAACTATATCATGTAGGGTCTATTATGAATAATACAAGGTAAAATTTTGAAATTAGGTATTTTCTTCAGGACAATGAATTCATAGAATAGCCGACGTAATTGATTGGATTACATTAAAATAAATGCTCAACATGTTCTCCACCTTGTTGTTGGCAATAACACAGTCACCTATAAAACTCGTTCCGAACTTTGTTTAAAGTTTGAGGTGAAATATTATGTATTTCTGTAGTTATCCTTACTTTTTGAGGTCTTCAATGATAGTTGATTGTGTTGCATATACTTTGTTCTTAAGATAACCCCACAAAAAAATCCAAAGGCGTAAGATCTGAGGATTCCAATGAGGCATCCAATGAGGATTCTCCGCTGACCAATATCTACAGTTTTGTCAGTTTACCTCTCCGTTTAATGTAAATTTTGATTCATCAGTCAAAAGAATTGTGCCAAGAGCTATTTCATTTGTTAATTTTATCCCTCATTCTTTTGCAGAAATCCATTCTACGATCCGGATCGTCTTCTGTTAGCTCATGCACAAATGCCAATTTATATGGATGAAGTTTTCTTCATAGAGACACCTTAGGATAGTTGTGTGACTCACATTATTTTGACGTGCAATTTGACGTGAACTTGACGTTGGATTCTCTGCGACACTTAACAGAATATCCACTTTCACTTCATCTTCAATGAAGTTCGATTTTCTTTTTAATGGTTTGACATATCCAAATTCTCTGAATTGTGCATAAATTTTATACACAGTACCTTGTGAAATATTACGCAACTGAGGATACCTCTGATTAAATAAGTTTGCTACTTCAACTTGACTTCTACAATTCTCCCCGTAACCGATCATCACTAAAATCTCAATTTGGTGGTCCTTAGTTAAATATTTCATTTTTATTTCTGCAAGAAATTAGTTTTTAATTAAGAATATATTATTTTAATGTAAAATGTCAACAGAATGTCAACTGATTGATAGCAATTCGCAATATTTACCGATTTAGTTTAATTAGCAGACTATCTATACAGTTTTTACCTATTCACGACAAAAAATGTTAACACGGTTACTAAACAGAAATTTTCCCCAATATACAGTATACTAACACTTAGATTAGAAGTCTATTGTCTGTATTTAGCTAATTTAAAATAATACTATACTATAACACGTGATAAATTATTAATTTCAAAATTTCACCTTATATTATTCATTCTAGACCCTACATGATATAGTTCGTTGAAATCAGGTTGTTAGAAGTATTTTAAAAATATAAAAATATACAGGGTGTTTCATTAAAAATAAGGATTATGGACTATGCCAGACTTGCGTGGATGACCCTGTACATTTAAACTTATGTTTAAAAAACGCACATTTAAATTTAAAAGTTAAAGTGTTTCAGAGTTTTTGATTATTTTTTATAATAAGGACACAAACAATTTTATTCCATAAGTGGTTTCCACACTGTATAATCAGATCAAATATTATCATTCAAGCGTAATGTCAAAAAACTCTTTTTAAGAACATACAAATTTCCCATAATTATTGTATTCTTTTATTAATCATTTTTTTAAGTCTCAACGAAGAAAATGCGCCCAAAATTATGAATATCTTATTATAAATTATGAATTTAGTCAAATTGACTGGACCTGTTGTGGAAATTAATAAGTTTTGGGAAAACGGTAATATTTCAAACAGCACATTCTGACTGACAAACCAGTATATACAGTTATGATGAGTAAACGTTTAACTTAATGGACCTATTAACCAATTACTTGAAATTTATATAACTTTCTACCTGTTACTTATCGTTAATTGTTTTTTAATTTGAAGAGAGTAGTAGGATGACAAAATAATACTTAACAGTCTGCTTTCAATGAAATTGGTTGTAAAGTCATTTGAGTGTTCAGTTTGTGCAAAAAATTAGTTGAGCATTGTTATAAAAGTGTTTATTTTTAAATTTAGAGTGTATACACTTGCCGGTAAATCCACGTAAATCAAATTTACGTTTATTGTATAAAACAATATGGCGGCTCTGGAGTCCAGAGGAGAATAGGGCAATTTCGCCAGTTAATGAACCGGAACCAAATCGACAAGGAGATGATCTCATTCAAGTATTAGAACCTGAACACCGCCAACAAGTACATTTATCTACTGATGCAAAACAAATTATTGCCAATGTTTTTCAAACTCTTGTCAAAAACCATGGACAGTAACGAAGCCTTACATAAAACGGCAACTTTGACTAAAAAGCCATTATCCACAGTCAGACAAATCGTTATCCTATTATACCAAGATTAACAAGACGGGATAACAGTATTTATCGGAAGCTCGATCGTGAAGGTAAAGATCTTATTCGTCGCAAAGTGTATGTCTTGTATAAAGAAAAATGGTACCCTCACTATATAGATTTATTAGTTGACATAGTCGACAACACTAAAATTAAGTGCAGTACAACAACTATTTGGATATGTTTGCAACGTATAGGGTTTAAATACAAAAAAGTAGATAAAAGACAGGTACTTATGGAATCCTATCGTTTAAGGATATGGCGAAAGGAATATTTAAACAAAATTAAATAGTATCATCGAGAGAATCGACACATTATTTATTTGGATGAAACGTGGTTTGATACTCAGCATACGCCATCTAAAGGTTGGGTAGATAATAGTCAATCTTGTTCAATAAAAGCTCCTTTTAATAGAGGAAAAAGAATAACAATATTTCATGTTGGATCAGTCGATGCATGGGTTTCAAATTCCTTATCTCTATCAGCTAAAAACATCAGTGATTCATGTCTCGATTACCATGACAACACAACTTCAGATATATTTGAAGACTGCTTTAAAAATAAGTTATAGTTATGGACATTGCAACATATCATAGCAGGCAATTAAATAAAATTCTCAGTTCAAGCGATATGAAAATAACAATACAGAAATACTTATATGACAAAGATATTTATTTTTACATAAATATTACTAAGAAGGATTAATTGAACATTTTAAAAAGTTTTGCATTGAAGAAAGAATACTTTTGTGACAATTATGCCTAAAATATGGGTCATACGATTTTTAGACTTATAATGATATATATATATATATATATATATATATATATATATATATATATATATATATATATATATCTATATATATCTATATATCTATATATTGTGGCTAATGCCACAATAACATAATGTGGCATCAGCTTAAGTTAAGAGTTCAAAGAAATAATACTTCGCCACATTTAAAAGCATCTGTCCTCCATCTAATTGAAAAAGAAGTACTCAACATTGATGCGAATAGTCGGAAAAATGCAGTCTCACATATCATGAAAGCTGAAAATTCGAGTAGAGTATGGGCCGCTTGGGGCACCCCCCACCACTCCCACTCTGACGTCACACGGTTGCAAATACCAAACGGCTTAACGTAGGATGACGTACGAGGGCTCATTGGAAAGAGGATGAAAAATGGGGTTGAATGAAATATGTGCCGTGCGCATCGGAGCATGCCAAAAGGTCGTTACATCATATCTTTGTTTCTATTGGTCCGATTGTAACGTACGAGGGGTCGTTGGAACGGGAAGGAGGTAACGAATACGTTGAGACAAAAAACAAAGATGGCGGCGTTGCCAAATGAGCGCTAAAACGTGCCTTCGTTGCTATTGGTCTGATTTTGACGTATGAGGTGTCAAAGCGTTGGTGACACACAGAAGCCATGTACAAGCTCGAACATTCTTCTTCTTGTACATACAGTGCCTAAGAGAACGTCGACACAGAACGTGGTAGAACGTGAAATGTTGCTTGAATAACGTGACATTCGACATGTATTTGCGACACAAAACAAACATGCATTTACTGTTCATCGTAGCAGGAAGAACAGGGTGATAGAGCTCAACGTATAATAATGTGTGACATATTGATGGGAAGGGGATGTGGTAACGATTATGTTAAGATAAAAAGTAAGCGGTAAGACAATGCCAAAACAGACGGTTGTGTGTGAGGTGTTGA